CTGATGTGAATGTGCAACTAGGTGAAGCTCTGCATACATTGTCGGCACTATATAAATACCTGTAATGTAAATAAAATTATATATATATATATATATATATAAAAGTATTGAGAAGAGTATATTTTACTTTCCCAATACTTCTCCTTTAAAATAATCTACCTATTAAGTCATTGACCTTAACCAAGCATGTGGCTAGGGAACCAAGACTGCCTGAGCTGGATGTTTGTTACAGATAAGGCTCAGGATAGGTATGTAGGCAAGAGAACCAGCAACTTGTATCTATTATGACAGGTCAAATTCATGGAAGTAAACAGGGCGTTCTGTCCTTCTTCCACCCCCATTCACACTTGCTGGCAAATTCTCGACTGTCAAAATGATAGCCAGAAGTTATCCTGTAAATTCAACAGCTGTAGAAGCTTTTGCTGTCATGTGATCTACATATGATGTCTGTTAAAGCAACCTGACAAGTGAAAAAACAAACAAAAAAAATCCTGTTTTGTGAATAAAATGTGTTCCTATTTGACCCCTTATTAATCATTAGTTTGCCCTAATCAGCCCTAATTCACTCCCCTCCTCTCAACTATTAGTTTGCCGATTTACTTTTCATTTATATTTTTCTAATCAATAACATCTACATTTTTTGTTTTGTTGATTAATTTTTCTAGTGTTGCTTCAAAAAAAGCACATAACGAAAGTCATTAGCGGATAACTTTGCAATGCTTTGTAAGAGAATCATAATTTAAATTTAAGTATATAATAAAATAAAAGCATATTTATTTATTACAGGTCTTCCTATAGCGCCGACATTTTACGCAGCACTTTACATAGTTGCACATTCACATCAGTCCCTGCCTTCAAGGAGCTTACAATCTAAATCCCTATCTCACATGTATACATAGAGGGCCAACTTAGAGAGGAGCCAATTAACCTTCCAGCATGTCTTTGGATATAATAAAATGTATATTTGTATCCACATTAACACTTTATTAACTAACACTGATCAAATTTGAAAAAAAAAAAATGTGTTCTAGTTTTGTTTTTGTCTATTGATTGCATGAGACTGAGTGACACTGGAGCACAGTTATTTAGCATTTGTATGGCCTTACTGTGACCATATTAAAGCTTTAAAAAAGGGGAGACCCATAAAAAAAAAAAACCCTGCACATTTCTAAAGCACAATGATGCGCTTTACATATGTATTTAAAGCTTTACTTGCTTCAGGCAATCAAGCAAAGTCCCACTCACTTCAATTATGACAGGTGGAGAATCCGGTCACATGTCTATCTTGTATTTTTAAAGCTTAAAGGGTTATTAAACCCTCCAGTTTTTGTTTTGCATATATCTACTGGTAGCAAGCAGTATATATATGGAAAAAGTGTAAAAAAAACAAACAAACCGCTTTGAAAAGGGTTAATACTTACCTGTGTCTTCCCAGCACGCTCCGGTCCGAAAATGTGAAAATTCTCGGGCGGCTGCAAAGCATCTTGGGGCGAGCGCATGCGCAGTTCACATTCTCAGCCGGGACGCGAGGAGAGACACAAGGTAAGTCTATGGACACGTGCACCCGCATGCAGACACCGTGGGACAGGAAGTGCCAGCAAGCTCAGAGGAGTCAGCGCTGGATCGGAGACTCGCCGCAGCGCTGGAGGGACAGATGAAAAGGACAGGAAAGAAGATCGGATTAAGATACATAATTTAAGGTAGGTGCTTTCATTAACATTGGGGGGAGTGAAAAAGATTTTTGACTTTAATGTCACTTTAAATGAACAAACTGAAAAGAGAAGCGAGTTGGTTGCCATGGGCAACTACTCCAGTTTCTGTCTGCTCCAGTTTAATAAATTCCCCACACTGTGATATTTTAGTCCAAAATAATAATAAGGTTTTGTTTTTTAGATAATTTTTATTAAAATTTGCAATTAACAACTTTAAAGTGACATTAAAGGCTCCCCCCCAATCCTGCTTAAGTGATGCCTCTTGATCTGATCATCTTCTTCATTCCAGTACTGTAGTTTCCAGCAGTCCCTCCAGTGCGGACTCCTCGGGTCCCACGGTGTCTGTTCGGTGTGCACGCTCAGAGCTGTGTACATTTACTTCTATTGAGTCTCTTCTCTTTGCCCCGCGTGTGCCCGCCCAGATCTTTGTGCACGGCAGTTCGGGGAAGATGGATGCTGCAGACAGGAGTGAGCGGCGGTGACAGAGCTAAGTATTTACCTGTTTGGTAGCCTTTTAATTTTTTAAAAATGTTTTTGCATATAACTACCGCTTGCTAGCAGTAGAAATATGTGAAAAAAAATAAGACTTTAATCAACAGTTACAGAACAAAGCAAGCCAATAGGGCAACACAAAAGGGAGAAGAGAGAAATATGCAAACAGATAAGGTTATATGGTTTTACCTGCACAACTGGGCTGTCAACAGTGAATGCTTTATACACAGATGATGCATTCATTTTACTCCCTTTGCTCCAGATCACCACATTTCCAGCCACATACAGCTCTTCATCATACTCCACATCTTCACCAGGGTCACCAACACCTTTTCTTAGCTGCCAACTTTCCTACAAGAACATATTAACAAATGAGTAGGGACAGAGGCATAGATAAAACCCACCACACCCTGTTGTACTATGTCATTAATATAACACTTTCACATACAGAAATCCTAATCCAACACAATAAATAAAGTAATAAATGTTTTACTATATTCTAAGCATTCAATGTCATAATAATACAACCAGTGATAACATTTGAAGGATAGAAACATGCACTATAGAAAAAGGATCTTAGCTAGAGGTGCACTGAAATGAAAATTTCAAAACCGAAATGAAAAAAAATATCAGGCCGAAACGGAAAATGGTTTTTATTCTAACTTTTTCAAATTGTTTTAAATATTTTATTATTATTTTTTATAAACTTTTTAATGTTTTTATATTTTATTTATTCATTTTTATTAAATATATATATATTTTTTTACTTTACTTTTTGGGGCTTCAGGGAAATATTAGGGGCCTAAACAGACCGCTGATATTTCCCTTTAAAATAGAAAAAGAGATTGAGGACATATAGTCTGCAACCCCTGTTATAAATGAACAGGAAGTCTCTATACTGAGTGTTCCTGTTCATTCATAACTTGAGGACATAGTATGTTTACTATATCCACAATCATAAATGAACAGGAGGTGATTCATTCATAATTGAGGAAACAGTAAACATACCCTGTCCTCAATTATTTACACTTAGCGATCACTGAGTGCTTGTACCCACTCTCCTTCCTGGCACGCTGTCACAGGAGGCTGGACGTGGTGGAAGGAGAGCTCAGCCTCCTGTGACAGCAATGACAGCTGTCTCCACCCACACCACCACTCTCCATCCTGGATTGACTGTCACAGGAGGCTGGGCGGGAGGAGAGCTCAGCCTCCTGTGACAGCAATGGCTGTCTTCGCCCACATCGCCGCTTTCCTGATCTGTGACAGGAGGCTGAGCAATGCGGGGAGAGTGACAGTGCTCTCCTCCAACACCGCTCAGCATCCTGTCACAGCTTCTCTCCTCCCCGCTGGGACACAGAGCAGCACCCAGCGAGAGGAGAGAAAACACGGATGCACCACTATTTCGGCCAAAAAAATGAATTTTCGGCATATTGTCAAAAGTGCCATATTCGGCGGCCGATATATCGGTGCATCCCCAGGCTTAGCTGGCCTTTTAAGAATCTAGGTACCATGCTCCCAGTAGAAGTTATGCCCCTGCTAACCCCATTACAGTAATAACATGTACAGGCTATGTGTTGTGCACAATTGCTGACAAACAATGACAATACAAGTACAATAGGCTTAAGAACAGGGGTTCCTAAACATTTCAATCTCAGGACCCAAATACATGTTCTTTTTTTACCACACTGGGATCCAAGAAGAAATTATTACCAGAACGTCAGCAAAGTTATACAAAGAGAAAATACCAATGACCGTATAACACATTGCAGGCTCACTTTAACCCCTTCACCCCTTTAATAAAGCCAAGAACAATATCTTACATTTTCAATTAGCGCTGTGGCCCCTCCCCCATAATTGTCTCTTCTGTCAATTACATTAGTGAGTTTCACAGGATTTAAGTGGGGTGGTGGTGTTCTAGGAGGAAATATTGTATATGTTTTCTTCCTCTAGAAATCAATGCTATCTATGATATACTAACTGCATTGTTTATAGGCTAAGTTATCACCACAGTAGTATACAACACGGATAAAAGGCTCAAATCACAAAGCTTTAACACCAGTTTAAAGCTGCCTCTATGCTTGAAGTTTTTTCTCATTTAGCCAGCGTGGAACAGGAACTCTCCCCTGCTGACTATTGTATTCTAACAAGTGGTGCATGCAGCTGTCAGAATACACTGATTAATATTAAATCAGTGTATTCTATAATTAAAATGCGCTGATTAGCTGCAGTCATGGTTTGCCCGACAATTTTTAGCCTGGCTCCTTTGACAAAACTCAGCAGGACCTGGCCAACATTTTTGTAGTGTATGGCTAGCTTAAAACAGTACTCCGGGGCAAATCAAATCTTAACCCCTACAGTACTCATTTTGTCTAGGGAGCTACAATAACAAACTTATACTCCACGAAATAGCTCCTAAAGAGCTTCTTTTAGCCTGTCTTCCCCTCCTCTCCAGCGATGGTATGTCCCTCATTGTCCTCCCGTTCTGTACACTGTATAGAACGTGATGACTCACAGGACCTGGAGCAAAGAGGGAGCGAGGCTGAAGAGACAGGTCTAAAAGCAAGCTGGGATTGCAGTTTGGGTGGATATACCTTTGTTATTTTAACTCCCTAGACAAACCGAGTACTTAACTTTTTCAAGGCAAGGGTAGGCCCACTGCCAGGGTGAAGATTTTATTTGCCCTGAGTTCTGCTGTAAGGTAGTCTTTTCTCAGCCATGTGACTGTAATGTTCAAATATCATTGGACTCAAATGAAAATAAACATCACTTTTTAAAAATCAGGATAATACTGTTGTATTATCTTTCTGAATTGAGCCTAAAGTGTGTGATAAAACTCACTAATGATTTTCCAGATGACAACCAAGGCAACCTTTTCTATAGTCATGTGACGACCTATCACAAACATGTCCATGACCCAATTTTGATCCCGACCCATAGTGTAAAAAACCCTCCAGAGTAAACCTAGTTTCAGCCACAGTATAACAGGTACGTGCAGGACAGCCTGGATCATTAAACAAATGGATTTTTTAAAATTTTGAACTTACCTTTTGTTTCTCGTGGATGGTGACCTCCCGTAGGGATCCCACCAAGCCTGCAGCCCCATCAGATGACCAGAGCTCAGAGGCTGGCTGCAGCTGCCGGAGCTGGAGATTCAAAGCATTGGGGTGGTACTTGCTTTGTTCACGGCCAAAAGGAACAAACTCCTGCAAATCCCCTGCTGCAATCATTGTTTGCCTCTCTTCATAGATGTTCGACATGGGTTCCAAATATCCACATTATTTCTTAAAAAGAAAAAGTAGTTCATGTTTGCATGAGAACAATCCCTGCATGAAAACTGTAAACTGACACATATAAAAGAAATTTCAGGTAATTTAAACAGATCCTGAAACCCAGAAAAAGTAGTAGAGGGAAAAAAAAAGTAGCGCTTTTTTTCAAGAAAATTGAAGAGTAAAGGGGCCTGTAGACCCGACATGACCTTTGCTTGATCTGTTTCTGGCTGCATTTCCCACTTCCCTCTGCAGCCTATAGGTACATATAGGGCACCAAACTGTATGAGATACAAATAGCTCTATGACACTTGCTTGATTCTGCCAATGATGGCTGCATTAGAAAGAGACTATCAGGGTTATTTACAAAAGGGTGGAGTTTGGAGAAGAGCATAATCTAGGACATAGCTGAATTGGAGAATGTTTCCAAATAAGCTATTTTGGCCTAGATTATTCTCTTCCCGTCACTTCTCGAGAGAGAGAGAGAGAGAGAGAGAGACAGAGAGACAGAGAGAGAGGAGTGTGTGTGAGTGTATATGAAAAATCTTGGCCACCAATTTTATACTTCCAGTTGACCACTAGTGATGAGCTTTGGTATGGTGACAACCAAGTTTGCCCAAGCCTGCTCAAAACTGTAACAGCCACACCCCCCTCCTGACCCAGTCCATGGTGGGGGCATTCCATGCCCCTTTGTTATGTATACCTGTGGGGAATGCATCTTCTGCAACTGATAGGGCCAGGAGGGGTGTGGCAGTCAGTTTTGAACAGTTTTACCTGCTCAGGAATAGGAAGTAGTCCAGGGCTGGACATATTCCAAGAGCTGGAATATGCTTAAAGTGTATTTCCATTTTCGCAGCCAGCTTTAATATTTGTTACATGCTCCCATTCACATGGTATAAGCTAGAACGAACATTGAAAAATGTTTCTTGCAGTTTAAATTGCTTTTACTTGGGTTAGAGTTTCTTGCCTTTATAAGGGTTAACATTTCTACTTGCTTCTCCTTTGTAATGTAAGGAGTTTGTTCATTATAATTTGTAAAGTAGATCTGAACACTGCCTGTCCTAAGGAAGGGTTAAAAGATTACAACCCACCCTGCCTGGGTTGGCCTTTTACTTGGCACCAAGTAATGGCAAGCCAGTAACAAGAAAATGACAGGGTCACAAGCTGTCAAAGCAGCAGAGATGACAGTGTCAGCACTACGCTGTATATTCCTCAGCCTGCAATGCATAGGATTTGGGGCAATACACAGGGTGCCCAATATGAAGAATCCCTCCCTGACAGCTGACTGAGCAGGCTTTCTGTATGAATGGCACGGCTAGGCAGCACAGACCTGGTTATAAAGTAATCGTCCGCTCGTGCTCTCAGCAGTGCAACTTCCTCATAAAGCACTCTGAGGAGAGATGACACGAGTCTGGAATGCGCTGCACAGGCGGAAAAAAGAATGGAAAGCGGTTCAAATGGAGGCGGCCATCTTGGGACTTCCCGTCGGACAGTGCGCGGGAGAGCGACTGAATTGGTGACGTCACTGGAAGCGTAAGAGAGACATCTTGGTACGGGCGGAAGCGTTGACATTTCACGCTCAATGTATTTGCCAGTGAAAAAAATGGTGGCGGGGCAAACCAGCTTCAGCTTGACCCCGCCCATCAAGCGGAAGCGGGCTCGCTTCCACCAACAATCATGGCGGCTTTTTAGTTCGCCAGGTTTGTGACGTTTATATGCGCCAGACCAATGGCTTCCACATGTGCCCCACTTCCGGCAGTGTTACACTGCTGTTCCCCTGGTGTGTGGAGAAGATGACTTCCCTGAGAGCATTTACCTGCGATGATCTGTTCCGATTCAACAACATGTGAGCTGGAAATGACTTTTTCTGTTGTTATTTTCAGATGATAGGCCATACTGAGAGTTTATTGAGGTCAGGGAGGCACAGAGATATTCATATAGGTCTGCACAGCTCAGAATGGGACACTTGTGATAAAGCCAAGCTTCTGTTCTGGTGTATCTGAAAGCCAAACATTTTTAGTGTTGTGTAGAGTAAGAAAGAGTTAGAAATTAACTTAATCCTTCTTTCTTATATATTTTTTCAGTTCCCTCTCTTCTTCCTGGGTTATCCCACATATCCACACATCCAGTGAATCCAGAGGTGTGTTCAGTTCCTTAGCCAAGAGCTGAGTAGCTGTGCTGCAGCACTTCAGCGAAGCTGCTGCAGCGAACTGAACGCTTCGGCGACACAGTGCTAAGCAAAATGGTGGAGGATAATATTTTTGACTAATAAATACCGTTTTCCAGCTAATATTTGGTGTGCTCGTCCACCAAAACATTCAATTGTAGGTTCCCACACTGAATTAATTTCCTACTTTGGGTTTAGGCACCTTTTTCCAGCGCTGCCAGGTGTGCCCACAGTTAAAATGGCTGCTGGTGTTCTGTCCCCACCTTCTCCGTCACGCTCAGCACTCTGCATCCACATTCACTTCCGCTGCGAGTGCTGTGTTAGCAGTGCTGAGCGCTGACTTGCAGCACAGTGTTGAGCAGCTGTTTGCCAACTCAGCACTCGCAGCAAATGAGCACGCGTTAGTGTTGTTTTGCTGGCTTCCTGCTGCTGGCCCGGCTTCTGCCTCCATCTTCCAGTCTGACATCGTCAGGGAGCTGTCTGGCTCTTCTTGGTTCTTGCAGTCAGCCCCCTGTTTGTGCATGTGGTGCGTTGTCAGTGAGCCGGCTGCAAGAAACATATAATGGTATCTCCACATAATCTGATTACTAATGCCACTGCAGAATTTCACTATTCAGACAGATCTTCTGACCAGCCAATCTAAACACCACTTTCTCAGGCCACTTTGCCAGAGTCTACATGACCAGGTACAAGAGGGACACCAATGTACAATACAGGATGAGGGTGTTTTTGTGCCTTTTCCTTACATTTATAGATAATTGAATGTGAGTGTTGCAGTGAGGACCTCAACAGATTGTAAAGATGTTCACTGACAAGTCGTTAACGTTAGAGGTTTGTTGAGGAGCATTTATTCAAATCTTGCCTGATATTCATGTTGTGATGGGACATCTTTTCTGAGTGAACTTTAAAAATTCTTTGAGCTGTAGCTAAAATAAAAGGCAAGCCGAGGGCAAATAAATAGTTATTATCATTGCCTGTAAGCTCCAAACCTCTATCTTTCTCTTTGGAGGTGGCCATCTTGGCAGAATAAGGGCATTGCTTCTTCAGGTCAGTGCTGCCTCTCCGATGATGTGATGACTTGCTGGGTAATATTTGAGAAACAGCAGGAGAGGTACAGATATCCTAGATCCACAGAATGGATGAAACAGAAGCAGGGAGGTCCTTGTACTGCAGGTCCATAGGTACAGCTTCCTCTTCAGCAAGCCCTCCGGAGTACCATGAGCAGCACAGTGGTGACATCACTGTGTTATGAATACATTTAAAAAAGCAGTTTACTGTTAGGGCTTTACTGATACTTTAAAGTCTGATGTCATGGTCTATTAATATGATCTGCAGTACGAATACACAAATCAAATGGGAACATCAACCGAAAAGTGCATGTGAAAGGATTACTAGGGGCGCTGCTGGATGATCTGCAGTACATTAGATTTGCAAGGAGATGAAGTTACTATTATATTATACTTGTGCAAGTCATTAATGTCTGTTTTTCTTATTTTGTCTCTTTGCAGAAATTTGGATCCACTCACAGAAACTGTATCCTTTATTGACGTTTTGTCATCTAATACATTATTCAGTAGCTCAGAGACCTGAGTTTATCTTAAAGGAGAACTATGAGGTGAGTGATTTACACTCATCCTAATAGTTAGAGCCGACCTGTGACAATGGAGCTGTCACATGTTGGCTCTATAGATCGGGAAGTGAGCGAACACATACTGTCGCTCACTCACTTTCCGATCATCTCCCTTCAGAGAGCAGTGACTGTCAGTCACCTCTCCCCACAGGAATTCCCCTCTCCGATCCTCCAGTGCTGACTGGCGAAACGGACGGGGGAGGGGGCGGGCACAGCTGGCTCTGCCTCTAGATAGGCAGAGCCCGCTGTCAATCAGCTAGCTGGGTGGATCTCGAAAATATTGTCTGGATCCGTCCCGGCTGCGGCGCTCTCAGTATACTGAGCTTTGGGTTACAGGAGGAGGTTAGTATATGTCCTCCCGTGACCCTTAAGAGAACTATGGGATCAAAAGGTTACCTCATAGTTCTCTTTTAAGGACATTTTAACTGGTTCATTAAATACTGTTTTTTTCTTAACTGTGTCAGTATGGGATTCCTTTTTACTTGCAGTATCTGGCACACTGGCCAGAATATTTCATTGTTGCTGAAGCTCCAGGAGGTGAACTTATGGGTTACAGTGAGTACTTGATTTATGTCTTATGATATATTTTCAGCTTTTAAAATGACAATATCATTGCACTAATTGGCCGTGACACACTGCACGCATAGCCGTGCAGAGCGAAGCAAAGCTATCCGGCACGGAGCTTTGCGTGCAGTGTGTGAGCTGAGTGCAGTCAGATGATTGACTGCACCTTCAGCCAATCGGCTAGTCCGTAACAACCAGCCAGATGTCGCATGCCGATGCGGTGGTTTATACGCGTGAGCCCATTGGCTGAAGATGACATTTTTCATCTCGGCACGCTCAGCGAGCTCTCGCAAGCTGAGCTGCCGAGGAGAAAATTACATGACACACTGCTCGCAAAGGCAGCGCGCCACCGCTTCACGCTGCTTGGCGTGCAGTGTGTCACAGCCTTAAGAGTCCAAGTCAGGCATTACTTGACAAATGCAGGAAGACTGTGTCCCATTATTTTGGCTAACCTCTCCTGATTGCTTTGCTATCTAAATTTTCACAATATATTCTGCATGTTGAATATGTTTATTGTTTATAGGTGTTTTTCATCTATTTAAAAGTTGTAAAGCAGCAATATTATTGGACAGTAGCCACAAGCCTTTCAGTGTGTTTTTCAAGTTGTGGTACCTGGAACCATTGAAAACTAGGCTGCAAATGTTGAACATACTCCAGGAAAATTATAATTTACATACCACACTTGGTGGTAAATTATCATTAAAAAGATGGGTGTTATGTTTGGAGGGCGGCTGCAAAGTATAGAAATGCAGCATGCCATATCCTGCACTCAATGCTGAGCTACTGTGCACTGAAGAGAGGGATGGATGTGACTTGAGCAGTACTGGTTGCATTACCTGCCGCTCCTCACTATCCTCTGTTCACAAAATTTCTTGTAGTTTTTCAACGAATACAAGACATTCTATGATTGGAGGAAGAGGGATAATGTAACATCCTTGGCTCATCCTCTGCTTCTTCAATGACAGAATGCCTTGTAGTCTTTTAAAAAATACAAGACAGTTTGTGAAGGGTGGGTAATGCGATCGGAGCGATGTACTGCTCAAGTCACGTCTCTCTTCCATGCCCAGAAGCTGAGCATTATGTGCAGGGGTTGGCATGCGGAAAGGTAAGATTTTTATACTGTCTCACAGCCCTCTGCACAATACACCCAGCTTTTTAATGATAATTTACGCACCCAGTGCACTATATAAATTATTGTTTTTCCAGGAGTGTGGCTTTAACTTTGCTTCACGGAGCTGATAAATGGCCTGCCCCCTTCTACACCTACTGTAGATGTTAATTACTGCACCCACTCAGCATGCTTAAAGCAACTCTAAAATTCTGCCCTCTGCAAAAAAAATTCTCTTAATGCTAACCTCTACAGTGGTTGACAAATCCTATTTTTACTTTCTTCTATTCTTTCTTCCAAGATCTAAAGTGGCAGAAAAATCTTCCACGTTTCAACACACTTCTGAGTTTGTCAGTTGCCCTGGCCTTTGTTGTGCTCTGTGGATTCTCCCACCAGTCTCTACATCTCCACTATGACCAGCTATTCAACATACCCAGAATTGTGTCAGATGTTGGATTCTTTACCCACCATGACTCTTGAAGAGAGCAAAGTCAGGACTCGCTGGTGTTTAGCTCAGCACCGTCACATGAGTTGGGAGAGCCCTCAACCTTTTTAAGCTCTGAAGAAAGTGACTTGAACAGCTAAGCAAAAGTGAATGTATGCATCTGGAAAGTGAACCTTTTGGTTTTTTTCCTACATGCAAAGCACAGGTTCAGTTTAACATTGCGGGCAGGAGCATTTTTAATAAAGTGAGACCTTTGCAAAGACATATTGGTACATCCTTTATATTCACCAAAATATTTAACTTAAAGTGACCCTGTCAGCATAGCAAAATCATACCTGCTAAAAGAAGAGATGGTCTGTGTATTGAAACACCGCTGCTGTCCAGCTGGTGCAAGTAGTTGACCAGTCGGATGGGTAGAACACCTGTTCCCCTACCAGAGTGATTCCTCCCACTGCCTTGTAGGTCCTATAGGGAATCTTGTGCTTTCAAGCAATATTATTGTATGTATCTCCTGCCAGTTCCGCCCCCCTGCGACGCGGACCCTCGCAAGGGACGGAACCCAGAAGACAGATGCCGGCATCGGCCGGAGGACACAGCGAGGATCGTGGACAAGATAAGATGCTACAGTGTCATCCCAAGTGTGGCTCAGGGTTACCGCTTATGGTAATGAAAATTAACCCCGAGCCACACTTGGGATTACCGCCAGGGAGGTTAATGGTCTTCAAACTTAGAAAACCTACCAGTGAAAGTTTTCTATGCAACAGTACAATAACATTAGCTTTGCAGATGTGCAGGGGTAAACTACAGATTTTAACACTGAAACAGATGAAGAATTTGCTATATTCACTGTACACTTGTAAATGGAATGTGTATTTGCCTTGCAGTAATGGGCAAAGCTGAAGGGTCTGTGGCTCGAGAAGAGTGGCATGGACACGTCACTGCGCTCTCTGTTGCACCTGAATTTCGACGCCTCGGGTTAGCCGCCAAACTGATGGAACTGCTTGAAGAAATTTCTGAAAGGTGACATCTGCTCCATAATAGAATTGCACTGTGAGCAATGTACACCACAGGAACCTGCTAACCTTTGTTTTCCTTATTTTCAGGAAAGGAGGATTTTTCGTTGACCTCTTTGTAAGAGTTTCCAATCAGGTAGCAGTGAACATGTATAAACAGCTGGGCTATAGTGTATATAGGACTGTAATAGAGTACTACTCGGCCAGCAATGGGGAGCCAGATGAGGATGCATATGGTAAGTCGCAAGTAACTTATTCCTTCCTGACCTCACAAAGCATCTCTCAAAGCTGAATTTAATGGTAAGGGTGGGCCAGCATACTTGCACATTATGGCACACTTACCATGGGGAATTTTCTTCTCCAGCAATGTGAGGTTGGAGCTCCCTGCCTCCATTCCGTTGCCTCCTCTGCTTCCGTGTCCAGCATCTTCTTGCTTTGCCCGTTGTATGGGCACTGACCATGCAACTTCAGTGCATGCATGCAAGCAGGAGTTACTTTCAGCAAAGCACCCAGCTCCAATCCCAGTCAGAGAATGATATGGAACTGTACATTGTACTGCAGTCAGTGTACAAATAAAAGCATAAGAGATTTTTGGCAGAAAAGAAATATAAAATCCCTTCTACCAAATGTCTCTACATTCTGACAAATTTTTGCTGTAAAGGTTTAGCTTTCCACTTCAAGTAACACTGTAACTGCTGTGGAAATGTATCTTTGCCATAAAAAAACTGTCTCCTTCTGCCATTTACTGTCAAGGGGCAGGTAGAGGATGACTGCTGCTCTGTGTCCAAGCAATCTGTAGAAAAGAAATACTATAGTTAAAGCCTTCTATCCAAAACATTCTAGTATTGAAAGCACAAAATAACTTTTTATGAAGGAGTTGTCACAAACTATTTGCAATTGACTGTTTGATCTTCATACACATTTTCTATCGATACAGTTACCCTTTAGACCAGGGGAAGGCAACCTCTGCACTCCAGCTGTGGTGAAACTACAAGTCCCGTCCCATCTGTGGCTGTCAGTCTTGCGATACCTCATGGGACATGTAGTTCCACAACAGCTGGAGTGCCAAGGTTTCCTACCCTTGATTTAAACAATCTTCTTTTTACTGTGACTATCTTTTTTAAATATGTCAGTTTTTCTTTAGCTGATATGTAATATCTATTTACACATTAGCATTCCTCCTGTTGTTGCAACTCAAGTTTAATGTGTGTGTTTTTTTTGTTTTGTTTTTCAGATATGAGGAAGGCGCTATCAAGAGACACAGAAAAAAAGTCCATTATACCCCTACCCCACCCTGTTAGACCGGAAGATATTGAATAACCATAGCTATGGTTCTTGGGCAAAGTAGTGAAGATTATATCTTCATATTATGTACATAGCAAAGTACTTGGCTTAGTCCTGCAACCTTCTTTATACTCGATGAAATGTTGTTGTTTTTTTGTTGGCAAGCAACTTGCAATATTGGAAACATAGTAAGCTCTACAGAAGTGTAGTGCATAATTCCAGACTTTTTATCTGATTAATAGCTATGAATTTTATTATCATTTATTTATTTAATTAGGTGAATGATTCATTCCTTTAGACCAGAATGTGGCTTGAAGTAATGAATCGAGTAATATTGCTTCTTTTCATGAGAACCGTCCCATTTATTGCTATGACATGAATGCAATGAATCTCAAAAATACTCCTGGCTTAATGATGTATTATGGAATGGAAAAATAGCACTTCATTTTATACTTTTTCTTTTCTGTCTCTGAGCAGTTTTTGGGTTGAGACTGTCTCCTCTTTGCTGTCCTCCATATAAACTATAACATCCAGACTTGCCTGGTTTATTTGAAGCCCTAATCCAGGGCTGGAGGTAGCCAACTACATGAAATAGCTAGTTCTATTGACATGCACTCATACACAGCAGTGACATACCTGCTTTTGAGCTAGTGTTAAAACTAGAAGTCAAGATGTGAAGTAGAAATAATTTAAAGGTCAGTCCTCCCAGAACCAGTATTTTGGTTTTGATTAGATGCTGCTGGGCTGAATCAGTCGCCAGCTTATATCTTTTGGCATCAAGGTCTCTGTTCCATAGGTCCTCCAACCTACCAAGGCTTTTATGAATGACATCCTGCTCTTATTTTTCATATTTGGGAGAATGTAGCAGAAATAATGACTTGGTGCTTGGGCTCTCAGTCAGGGAATCTTGCCATTGAGGTCCCCTAGAGGCCGAGTGGATGAATCATCAGTGAAATTTAAATTTTGGGAGCTTGAAAATATTTAGCTGAAAAGACTACATGCACAAGTAGACCATGTTCCCCAGCGATGCCAGACATCATTTTATACAAATCCTCACTGCTGCATTAAAGGAGAATTATGAGGCGGTTCTGCCTCTGGATAGGCAGAGCCAGCTGTCAATCCCGCAGCTGGGTGGATCCAGACAATATTGTCGGGATCCGTCCCGGCTGCGGCGTCTCGGTATACAGCAAGCTGTAGCTCGCGGTATACTGAGCTTTGGGTCATGGGAGAAGGCTAGTTTGTGTTCTCCCGTGACCCTTAGGAGAACTATGGGGAAAAGCCCTGACCCCCTAGTTCTCCTTTAATCAAAGATCATTGTATGTTAGAGTTCATGGAGAGAAGAGCAATAATGGTTTAATCATTGAATGGTAACCATATTCTCACTTTCAGAAACTGCTTATCCAGTTCTCCTATAACATTTCACATCAAACCTAAGCAGTTCAATCTAAATATATGAAGACAATATGGATGAGCAGAGATCAGTGATAACTGCATTTCCTGGGAGTCAGTAGAGCTAGAGATCATGGCTACGGCATTTATATACAATGACAAAGACGTGTAAAAAAAAAACTAGTAGTTGTCCATCATATTAAAGGACCAATAGGCATGAAAAGTGTCAGTATTCAGGGGCCATGCTTGACTTTTCCTGTAAAAGTTGAGGTTTTTTTTAATAACGTCATCTGTATTCCTGGATCTACTGATTTTGCTTCTGCTTTTAAAGAAGAACTCCCGAGAATTTCTTTTTTTTTTTTAATAACCCTGGCGGTGGGGCTTGTTTTGGTCTAGGGAGAAAAATAAAAAAATTATACTTACCTGATCTTCTGAGCTGGCTTGTTCTTAGACTGGTCCCTGGAGCATCGTTCCCCCCTCCACTGCAGCGGTCTAAGGTCCCTGAGTCATCACGTACAATATATTGGATGTAGGACTTGAGGACGCCGAGAAACATTCCATTACTGCAGTGTAGTAGGAGACCGGCTGGAGCGAGCCCTGTCACAGCCGACACTAAGGATTTGGTGAGTATAAATTTACTTTCCTCCTTAGACCAAAAGGAACACTTAACCCTTCCAGTGAGGGGGTAGCCCCACTGAAAGGATTAATAAAAATATTCCCCGGAGTTCTGCTTTTAATGTTCAGTTAGGAATTGTGGGGTTTGTGACTGATTTTCTTTTAAACTAGGCTCATGACGAACGGATAAAGGAAAACATGTTAACATGGCCTGTGTTTTGTTTTCCCACTCTGAGAGATTGTTTGGACTTTGTAAATGGTTTCTCAAACTTCAAGCCATGTTTTTCAGCCTGAGGGTTCCAAGATCCATAAAGTATGCATGGGTTCGTTTTTCTTTTTTTGCTACTAACCAGGAATGATATTCATGTACTTTATTTGTAGGATGATTTTTTTTATTTGTGTGTGTTTTATATTATCCTGAAATGTCCCATGATTCCAGGTTAGATGAAATGTGAACAAGCTTTTGTTGAAAAAATAGTAATCCTCTCTAGGTCAATTACATACATTTAAAGGGATTTCAGCAAACATCAGTGCAGCATCTTACCTGCTTCTAATCTCTACATACTGGGACAGGTTATTGCATTTACTTTCTCACACCAATATTATAATCAAATGTATGATTGGTCCCTGTTTTGTAGTAAGAAAGCCATATCATCTTCAGCCACTCTATATACAGCTATTCCTCACTTAACGACCGAGTTCCGTTCCTACGATTAGGTCAGTAAACGAATTGGTCATTAACTGAGGAACTCTATGCAGTACTGTAGTGTTGGAGATGTACAGCACTGTACATTGCACTGTAAATGAACTACTTACCGAGAATTGTAGCTGAGAACTGAGTACTGTACCACTGCCACGTTCCCGCATGTACTGTCGGGAGAGCTGGCCGTAAGTGCGAGCAGTCACTAAACGGTAGCACAAGCAGCAAGCAGATATTGGAGAAAAGCAGGTAGCCACATAGGCAGTGAATTTAATAAAACTCGAGCAGACAGAATCTGGGGTAGCTGTGCATGGCAACCAGTCAGCGTCTAGCTTTTTATTTACAAAGCTTAACTGAGCAAACTGACAATAGAAGCTGATTGGTTACTATGCACAGCTGCTCCAGGTTCTGTCTGCTCCAGTATTAGGGCATGTTCACACCAGCAGCTGTGAGTGCCCGGACAGTGCCAACGCGCTCGATCAAGTTGCATTGCACTTTCTCTTATTTTTGTTAGAACTTTATGGAACTGGTCCCCGACTTCTTCTTGTGGTCTGATGAGGCAGATATATCTAAGTTCATGTCGAGCTCGGATATGGTAAATTGCATATACAGACATTATGTTATCCCGTTCTGATAGTTTGTTTTTTTATTTCCCTTATCTACTTTACTGTTATCCATTTTTACTTGTTTTTGCATTGAAAAAACTTAAAATAAAGAATTTATAAAAAAAAAGAGAGAACTTCATGGAAATGTCACAAGTGACATTCCATTACGTTCTATGGGCTCGCCACAGTGCAATGCGCTTAATGTATTGCATGCCATACTTTTTTTTGTTACCGCACACCAATGGAATGTGGTGGTATGAACTGTCACCATCCATGACCAGGCAAATTGCCTTGTCTTGCATTTAGGCTTCGCTGAAAAGATGGCCAGCATAGCCTGAATGCATGTGGTGTGAACAAGCCCTTCCCCCAAGTACTCTTCCTATGGTGCCAGACAGTGACATGAATTTTTAACTAACCTAAAATTAAAAAATGCCCCGTGCAGTAATAGGAAATGGAATAAAATTTCTAGCAAAAAAGGAGTTTTTATTTAAAGGGCTTCTCCAAGCTAAAAAGCTAAAGTAAAATATTTATCTGCATGGTGCTGCAGAAGGCTGTACCAGAACCTCCTTCCTAAGTATATATGGACTCCCAGGCTGCCTTTTGCAAACATTTAAGGGGGTATATTTTTATAAATTATTTTCACCCATTATTTCTACAGCTTTCACCCATTTTTCCAATTTGAGTCACCCAGAAAATTTGTCAATTCTGGATGATAGTTGTATGAAAAGATTTATATAATGCACCTCTTAAATTCTAACTAAAAGCAAAATGTTTTTTAAAGTTTGGATCGTGTGTGAGGGGTTAGAACCACAGTCAGTTTTTTTAGTTTTTTTTAATGTCTGTGTCTTAATTGGGAGGATTCACTCTCGCTAACTGCCTTGATCACCATTGTCAAGGGAATGAAATTAGGGATAACATTGGGGACACTTGTTCTCTTGACAACTGTCTAAGAGTGGATTTCCGTTACATTGTAAAGTTATTCTCTCACTTCCTGTTGCTTTTAAAAGACAGGAAATAAGGGTAAATCTCCCTATAAAGACAGAGATGGCAAAATATAAATAACTTAAAGGATAATTAAAGCCTCGGGTGTTTTTGCATAGATCTACTGCTAGCAAGCAGTAGATCTATGCAAAAAGTGTTAAAAAAAAAACACGATTTGAAAAGGGTTAAAACTTACCTATGTCTTCCCTGCGCGCTCCTGTCCGAAAATGTGAAAAATCTCGGGCGGCCGCAAAGCATCTTGGGGCGGGCGCATGCGCAGATCACATTTTCGGCCGGGACGCGAGGAGAGACACAAGGTAAGTCTATGGACGCGTGCACCCGCATGCAGACACCGTGGGACAGGAAGTGCCAGCAAGCTCAGGAGTAGGCGCTGGATCGGAGACCCGCCGCAGCACTGGAGAGAAGGCTGAAAACGACAGGAAAGAAGATCGGATTAAGAAACATCATTTAAGGTAAGTGCTTTTATTATAATTGGGGGGAGGGAAAAACATTTTTGACTTTAATGTCACTTTAACAGTGGTTTAAACCTTGCCCTACTCTATCCAAAATGATGGCTTTAGATATACTTTAATGGTAACCTGTACTCAGAACTATGGGGGGGAGGGCTACCATTGCTGACCATCTAGTGTTACCCTATAAATCAGGGGTGGGGAACCTCCGGCCCTTTTGGCTGTGGTGAAACTGCAAATCACATGATGCATCTGTCTCTGGGTGTCATGGCTATGGCTGTTAGAATCTTGCAATGCCTCATGGAATTTTTATTTTCACCACAGCTGGTGGGCCGGAGGTTCCCCACCCCTGCTATAAATACTATTCGGAGAAATCTCCTGGGGAAAAAAATCCCCTTTCAG